AATAATAATATAATTCTGGTGTCTTTGCAATATTAATCTTTAAAATCCTTTGCATCATTATGTGAATCTGTATCCAAGATAATGATTAATGATTAGGTCAGTGAAAGATGAAGCTATAATATTTCTAGGCATATTTATTTCATACTAATACCATATTGTATGTCTAAATATGTTTTATCCACAGATGCAACTCCTTAACAGCACTGACACAGAAAAGCCAACAAACATTACCAAATTCATCCTTACAGGATTCAGGAATCTCCAAGAGCTGCAAATTCTTCTGTTCTTCCTCTTTCTGTTAATCTATATGATAACTTTAGCTGGGAATATTCTGATAGTTATGCTTGTTATAAAAGAGAAACATCTTCATACACCCATGTATTTCTTCCTTGGAAATTTTTCCTGTATAGAGACATGCTATAGTTCTACCATTCTTCCCAAAGCTTTGATCAGTCTTCAAACTGGGGACAGATCCATCTCATTCCAGCTGTGTTTTGTTCAACACTATTTCTTTGCATCACTAGGAGCAGTTGAATGCTATCTCTTATCTGTAATGTCATATGATCGGTATTTAGCTATCTGCCACCCTTTACATTATACAATCCAAATGAGTGGTAGATTCTGTGTGCAGTTAGTCGGAGGCTCTTTTCTTAGTGGATTTTTGGCTATTTCCATAACAATCACCTTAGTGTCCAACTTAGCTTTTTGTGGGCCAAATGAAATTAATCATTTCTTTTGTGATGTCTTCCCACTCATAGAATTGTCTTGCAGTGACACTCATCTCCTGAAGATTCTGATTTACCTTATTTCCTTTTTATTCACCATACCTCCATTTTTGTTGACCCTAATATCATATGGTTGCATTATCACTGCCATCCTGAAAATTTCTTCCAGCAGTGGTAGACAAAAAGCCTTTTCTACATGTTCCTCTCACCTTATTGTAGTTACCATTTTTTATGGCACCATAACAATTGTCTATATCTTACCCAATACTGATACATTGAGAAACCTTAATAAAGTGTTTTCTGTCTTCTATGCTGTTCTGACACCCATGATAAATCCACTTGTCTACAGCCTGAGAAACAATGAAGTAAAGAGGGCACTGAGAAAACATATATATCAGTTATTTGTGAATTTAATCATAATCAACAAAACTAGCTATGTTTAAGTCTTTTAAGGTTTTCTCTCCTCAATATGAAAATTAACCTTTTTCATAGTTTATCTGTCTTTGGTTATTGATAAGAAGTTTTCAAGCTATCTATATTATGAAATGTTGGCCAATCTATCCTTCCATATCACTAGTGGGAATGTAGAACTAGAGCCACACTATTTTAGACACTGGTTATCATTTATTATTATTGAACATTTTCCTTTTCTTTTGCCTCAGTTCATAACACCACACTATAAGTAGAGTTAGGGAGGGGGAATGGTCAAATTTGATTTTATCCATCTCTTCATGACATCCTGTTTTTGAATCAGTTTGCAATTCTGAAGAAAAAATCCATATTGATATGCATGTTCATGTCACTTTCTCCTAAAATAGTCACTTTTATGTTTTAAATGTGTCTGTGTGTTTATGTGCATAAATGTACACTAACAGAGAGAGAGAAAGGGAGGGGATATATTTTGACAACACATTTCCTTTATATACCTTTTGTACCTTTCTATTCTTTGGAAAATGGAACCTCACATTTCAGAAAGAAAGATGTGCATCCCTTTATTCGGAAATACTAAATAGATGTTCACATTAAATGCAAATAGAATATATTTTCTTTTGTTGTGAAGAACAAGTTATTTTTGAAAAAATTCCACACGTTTAGAGTTTCTTTTCATCTGACATAAAAACATTCTTATTAACAAAATAAAGAGACAAAATAGGAAAGGGTCAAGATCAGCCTTTATATGAAGATTGTTGTCTTCAACAGAAAGCAGATTCTGGCTGTGCTCTGGAAATATATATTCTGTATGTACATTCCCAATAAACTTGATTTTTCAGAACCCTGAAAATGTATTAAGTGGTTGTAAATTATTTCTTAGAAGGCATACATGTTTTACCCTCTGCAGTTCTTAATGGGAGATTTACCAAAGTCTTCATATGTATGAGAACCTGTCCATGTCTCAGTACTATTGAGACTACCACACATGTGCTTTTACATTACTCCTATTACCAATATAGCTGAGAAAATTTCCTTCTTCCTTTATTAGCATGTGTTATAGATCATAATGAATGCTTTCTTCTTGATTTTCTCCTCTCAGATAAGGAACTGTTTATTACACACAATGTTGCTAGATTTTACCTAGCAACAATTAAAATGTGCAAATAATTAAGGGTACTGTGCATGGGTAAACTTATTGAGAATTCCTTTTTTATGTTTATTTTTCTTAATTGTTATCTGTTTTACATTCTTTTTATGACCTTCAGAGCTCCCCGCCTTAATAATCACTATTAAGAATTTTTATAGATATATTTTAGCATTTTAATTTTATAATATTGTGTTAGCAACCCTAGTTTTTAGTTATCTTTCACCTCTTATAAGATCCAGTGGTATTATTGAAATTGTTTTTTCTAGTTTGAGTTTTATACTGACCAAACTATGGTTTGGTTTATACCAAACCAAACCATACTATGACCAACATAAAGATTTGATTAAGTGATTACCTATGGTATTTCTTAAATATATCTCTGTATATTATTTTCGATGATCACATAATGGCCAGGTAGTCAAATTTGATCAGAAAATTAGGATATATTGTACTATTTCCATTTCAATCTTTATTTATATCTGAAATGCTCAGTTTCTGAAACAATTCATTTGTTGATTGTATGAAGTAATTTAATTGTAATTGAGAAAGACAATTGCCTGGGAAATGTGAAACTTATTTAGTAATGAATTATTTGGATATGTTTTCTGTAACATTCACCTATGCTGTTTAAATTTATCCAGATCTCATGTGAATTTGTAACCAACAAAATGAAAATACTTGAATTTGGGAATAGAATGTTATTGATTCTTGTAAGAGAACAACCTGATCTTTCTTAAAATTTGAATTACCATATGCCAAGAAATGTTTATTCATAACATATCCCCAAGGTGTATATATGTACACATGCCTGTATGTATGTATAATAGGACCATCAAGAAATGTATATGTATCCTATTTGTTATAGGTTACATCTGGGTATCATTTTAAAAAGTCATTGCAGGTCACTTAATTTATTTCTTTGGCCTTTAGACTTATTGATAATTTATGCAGCCCCTGAATGACTGTACGGCTTGGTCATTTCATTTAGGATGTAATTGGGGAAAGAAAAAAAAATCAACCTAAGTATTGCAGTTCTGAATCAGAATTCAGATCTCCCACACCTACATTGTTGTTAAATAACAAGAATATTTGATAAACTGGAATAAGCAGAAAGGCTTAAGAATAAGGTTAGTCATAGTGCATTTCATTTGTTCACCTGTGGAAATCACAGGTTCAATCCTCAGGAACGTCTTATGGTATCCTCAACTAAAATGTTGTTTTTGTTTCAAAAAATACCTTTTTTAACAACTGATGTACCATTTAAGCAATGGCAGAAAGATATAGCTAGGTTCATATGGCAAGAGGAAAAAAAAAAAAAAGAGTAATTTAAAATTCTTCAAGATGCAAAGGAACAAGGGGGCCCAGAACTGCCTGATTTGAAATTGAGATTTGGATGGCATGGTTTTTTATGGTACAATAAAGTTAAGGTTAATGTAGAATTTAAAAACCATTGTTAGAAGTGCCATATTGAGAGTATGGAATAAATACAAACCCAGGTTGTGCCTGAAAACGCCTTTGTGGATCTCAGCACAAGAAGCATTTTATAAAAAAGAAACAGCAGACAAAGAGAAATGGTTGGCATATCATGGGTTGTTAGAACAAGAACATGGGGACTATAAGATGAAGGCAAAAGAGCAATTGAGTGCAGAAGAACTTAGTTTTCAATGGTTTTCATATGTACAGTTGAGAGAAAGTTTTAAAGTAGATAAAGGACATTTGGAATTGAACAATGTAAGATAGAACTTGAAGCTGAATTATGTGCAAATGATGAATATGTAATTGCTAAAATGTATAAGCTTTTACTGAGGTTTGAAATGGAAAAAGAACAAGCTAAAGAGTATATGATAAAATAAACTATGGTTATAATATGCAGATGGATCAATGGGAAAATATGTGGTTGGAAGGGCTGAAATTCACATTATAATTTAAAAGACCTTTCTTTCTTTCTTTCTTTCTTTCTTTCTTTCTTTCTTTCTTTCTTTCTTTCTTTCTTTCTTTCTTTCTTTCTTTCCAAAATGATGAAAAAAACTTCCTAGAATGTTTAAAGGTACTTCAAATCTATGTTGGAAATGTGGAAAAC